TGCCCGATCAAAGATCGGCCTCTACTAATCATGATATGAATCTTATGTACATTATATGCTCTTGTTCCAGTTTATTTAGGCTAGCATTTACTATGTGATATGCACACACACAAGCATAGACTAAAATTGCAAGAATTGGAACATCTCGAGTCATGTTTGTTTTGGAAAATTGTTTCGAAATATGGACCACTTGAAAAAGTGATATCATATGAACATTTACTCAAATTATTCCAATTCAAGCAACAAGCCTTTATCCACAGGCATTCAAGCAGTTTATCAATTAAGCATTTAGCCTCATGGCAAGCTGCTAGATATGGCAACATTCACACGCATGTGATTATGCTAAAAGCAAATAAAAGCTTACCTAGTACTCCAAGCCAAAAAAGAAACAAAGTTAGAAAAATGCATGATCCTAACTATGCAATATGACTAATGCAACACATGCGATATGAAATTAAATAGGCTTGACTACTAGCATAACATATGAATCAATTTGATAACATGTGGTCTAAGCACGTATTCAAAGAGATATTTAAACGACAATGTAGTTAGAATGATGAATCGAGCCTCGGTGCATGAAATACAGATGGATGCAAACATGGAGAATGCTAAATAAAACATGATATCTCTAAACTAACCATCTTAAGCAGTTAAATAAAAGGGAGAAAGACGTGAGATTGGAAGATATACACATTATTACAACATTTGATCCCTCACGCAGAAGGGTGAGAATCAATGTCCGAAAGTCCAAATTAAGTTAATTATTACAAAACCGAATGAATGAATAATAATTAACTTAACTAAGCTAATTAACTACTTCATTACAACAATTGAATCAACTAACTATTCTAGTTAACTAACTAATTACAAAATGAAATTGAATAACTAATTAGTTACAACACTTTACAAAATTAACTAGCTACAACTAATTACTTACAACAAGATTAATTACATTCGACAAAATGCGTAAGTGAAGATGGATAAAGGTTGCATGCATAGTGCCTGAGAGCTACTCTATTTGCCCAAGCTGCCTCTATTTCACCTTCAGCCACTGCCTCTGTTTTTTGCAAAACTACACTGCTGGCCACACACTGAGGGCCAACCGTGCATCACTGATGGCCGGCCGTGCATCAATTTGGTGCAAAGCTCTGTTTTTGTGTTCTGAGGTGAACCAGTGCAGACAGAGTGTCCTCAGGCTCTGTTTGTCCCTTTCTTCCTCCTCTATCATGGGAAAGCCTTGAGAGAAGGTTGAAATTGATTCCAAAGCCATCAATGAGAAAAATGATTGCTTGATGGTCTCAGATGCAATTTTGGACAAAAGTCAATAAAATGCAAAGAATAAGACCACTCCTCCCTCTTATCATAGTATGAACTCAAAAAGGGAGGTTGCAATGCTTCAAGAATCATCAAAATGCCATGGATTAGCATATGACGACTCTTGACACAAGGAACCTGGCATAACGTCTGACCAAGTTGAATCAATTTAAGCCACTCTCTTTATGTGTGTTGATCCAAGTTTTAAGCCAATTTTATTAAGCCTTGCCATTCTTTAATCCATTTGTCTATGGTGATGTTGAAGTCCTCTAAATAAGAAGTAATGTCAAATGAGAGGTTCTTTTAAAGCATGAGAGAAAGACTATACCGTTGGTAATGACTCTCGAAAAGATTAAGCCATTAAGTAAGAGTCTTTCTTACATGTCTTGAACAACCTTAATTGGTTGAAATCATTCTCAAGAATGAAAGAGAGAGGGATGGTGGAGTGATTGGTAAAATTAGACTCTTAAACATGGAAATAAGTAAAGGAAAGCTTGGAACAACATGCAACAAGTTATGTTTGCCAACTTATGAGACAACAAATGAACTAAAAAAAGCATGAACCAATTTAAAAGGCTTGGACAACCCTAAAAACAGCCCTTAATACATGAAAAATAGAGGCTAAACATGCATGAAAAGAGCTTAAAAAGCTAAACAATAATGAGAAGAATGAATGCTAGTAAGCAAGAACAAGGAAGGGTGGCTAACCCCTCTACTTTTGAAACCTCAAAACATGATTTTTGGCCCTTTTAAAACTCTGAAAATTATTGTAGATATTAAAGAAAAAGAGTGGAAAAGGAAGGGTTTGAGCTATAGGTAAAGGTGTGGAAAGAGCAAGCTCTCTCTACCCTTTTGGTAGCTATTCAAACCCAATCTTAAACACTTCAAATTGACTCAAAGCAAAGCAAAGCAAAACAGTAACAATTATGTTGCAAATGAAAGAAATGAAGGCAAGAGAGAAGATAACAAGCTTACACTTTTCAAGGGGTAAGCTTGTTGTTTGTGATCCAAACTTGGTTTCAACCCACTCTCAAGCTTGAATTATGCTTCTCTAAGATCAACCAAGGCTCTAAGGTGGTGAGACAAAGTTGTATATGGGGTAAATAGATGACACAAGGAATCTAGGTTAGCTTAAAGGTTGCTTGTAATGGAAGAAGAAGGAGGGAGGAGCTCTCAAGGTGTATATAGGCTCTCTAAATTTTTTTCAACCCTTAAAACAATCACACAGCTTCGTTTTTATAGAATTTGAGTTCAAAAGGTAATAAATATCTTCAAAAGTGGACAGCTGGCAGCCTCCCGCCCAGACTAGTGTTTTTCACCACCAAGGGTGGGCCGACCATTCATAGCCACGGTCGGTCATCACTGATGTACGGCCGGGCTTTGATGCCCTCCCCTATTTTTTGGTTCAAACTCATCTCAGAGTGGAAAAAGGTCCAAAAATAAAACTCACAGGTTCAAACAAGGTAAATGTTGAAGATTTGAGGTAATTTCGAGAGCCTTATTGAATTCGAATCGCTGTGAATTCAAAGCACACAATTCAACTTTCATCATCGAGTGTACCGAACCAAGCGCCTAAGTCTTGCGGGCGGTCAAAAATGGGGTGTCTACACGCACCCAGTATGGTCACTATGAATTTTTAGTTATGCCATTTGGGTTGACAAATGCTCCAGCCACATTTATGGATTTGATGAATAGAATTTTCCGGTAATTTCTTGACAAATTTGTGGTAGTCTTTGTAGATGATATTCTCATCTATTCACCTTTCGAAGAGGAGCATGAAGGGCATCTTCGCATAATTTTTCAATTTTTTAGGGAGCACCGCTTGTACGCAAAATATGAGAAATGTGAATTCTGGCTTTCCGAAGTGAAGTTTTTGGGTCATGTAGTCTCAGGAGATGGGGTTATGGTAGATTCTTCAAAAATAGAAGTGGTGCAGAGTTGGGAGCAGCCTAAGAACACCAAAAAAATCCATAGTTTTCTGGGCTTAGCAGGTTATTATTGTTGATTTGTAAAGAATTTCTCTTTTATAGCATCTCCATTGACTAAGTTGACTCGTAAGGGAGTAAAGTTCATTTGGAGCGAAGCTTGTGAAAACTCCTTCCGAGAACTAAAGCTTAGATTGACTACTGCCCCAGTCCTTATCATTCTGGAACGTGGTTTGGGTTATACGGTATATTGTGATGCCTTGAGAGAGGGGTTGGGATGTGTTCTAATGCAAGATAGAAAGGTGGTATATGGCTCGCGCCAACTGAAGATCCATGAAAGAAACTACTCGACCCACGACCTAGAACTTCCTGCGGTTGTTTTTGCCTTGAAGCTGTGGTGAGACTACCTCTATGGTGAGAAGTTTGAAGTCTTTTCCGACCACAAAAGTCTCAAATATTTATTCTCTCAAAAAGATTTGAATTTGTGCCAGCGGAGATGGATGGAGTTATTAGAGGACTATGATTTTGAGATACACTACCACCCTGGCAAAGCTAATGTAGTAGCGGATGCTTTGAGTAGGAAATTGGTAAGTGTAATGGCTAACCTAGCGATGAGGGGATGGAAGATGATAGAGGATGCCAATGAATTTGCGTTACAACTCAGTGAATCTTTGGAACAAGCTATCCTTTTTACCACCATCGCACAACTTACCCTTGTTGCAAGAGTAGTTGGGGCACAATTGGATGATCCGAAAGTAGAGGCAATAAAAGGGAGAATTCTTCAAGGGAAGGAATAGAGGGGTTTAAATATTTATACAGATTCTAGTATCCGTTACCTTGACCAATTATTCGTACCTGAATCCATGAGGAATGAAGTTTTGAGGGATTTCCATCACTCCCGCCTAGCTGTGCATCTAGGGGGCACCAAAATGTATCACAACTTAAGCCGTCGATTTTGGTGGAGGGTTATGAAAAAGGATTTAGCCTCATTTGTGTCCAAATGCCTGACCTGTTAACAAGTTAAGGCTGAACACCAAAGACCGGCCGGATTGCCACAGCCACTTCCAGTCGCTGAATGGAAATGGGAACATGTCAACATGGACTTTATTTCTGGCCATCCTAGGACTCAAAGAAGTAATGATGCGGTATGGGTGATCGTTGATAGGCTTACTAAGTTGGCTCATTTTCTCGCTATGAGCATTTGGGACTCTATAGAATTTCTAGTTGAACTTTAGGTTCGTGAGATTATTCGCCTCCATGGGGTGCCAGTTAGTATAGTGTTAGATAGAGACCCTCGCTTTACAGCCAGGTTATGGCAGTCTTCAAAATGCTTTTTGTACTCGATTAAATTATAGTACTACATACCATCCATAAACCGACGGGCAATCTGAATGCGTTATCCAGATTCTAGAGGATATGTTAAGGGCATCTGCATTAGATTTTAAAGGGTCCTGAGAGAAGCACGTGCCCTTAGTTGAATTTGCTTATAATAATAGCTTTCAAGGAAGTATTGGAATGACACCTTTCGAGGCATTGTATGGGCACTCGTGTAGATCACCGGTGTGTTAGACAGAAGTGGGAGATTAGCCGTTGTTAGGCCTGGATTTAGTTCGCGAAACTACTGAGAAAATAACCTTCATCTGGAAAAGGTTAGTTACAGTTCAGAGCCAACAAAAGGGCTATGTAGATAGAAGAAGATGACCTTTATCTTTTGAAGTTGGTGATCGTGTATTTTTGAAGGTCTCCCCTAGGAAAGTATTAATGAGGTTTGGTCGAAGTGGGAAGTTATTGCCTAGATTTATTGGTTTCTTTGATATCATTGAGCGGATTGGAGAAGTGGCGTATCGTCTTGCCTTACTGCCTCAACTCTCACGAGTCCATAATGTATTTCATGTGTCTATGCTCCGTAAGTATGAACCTGACCCTTTCCATGTGTTAGATTGGATAGAAATTGAAATGGATGACAATGTATCTTACGAAGAGAGACCGATCCAAATTTTTGATACCCGAGAACAAGTGTTAAGGGGTAAGACAATTCCCCTAGTTAAGATGTTGTGGCACCATCATGGTGTGGAGGAAGCAACTTGGGAACGAGAAACTGAAGTACGCGAGAAGTATCTAGAATTATTTTTGAATTTGTAATGTAATAATTTTCTTGCTTTTCCCTTCTAGCTAATGAATTTAATATGAATTATAGCCTCCTAATGTTCTCTTGACTTTCTTTTTGCTTTTAGAGTGATATCATGTCTAATTGCATGTTGTTAAGGAATCATAAATGTATTACTGTTGTCATGAATTGTCATGGATTAAGAATGAGCCAAAGCTTTCCATTGTTCCCTTGATTCTTGACTCTTGGATTCTAATGGGTATGTTTGTATACAGTTATTGATGGGATTGCTAGAGATTGATGAGTCTATTACTATCATCACACTTTTGTGGCGTTATGGAATTGGTGGAAAGCTAGGAAGTATGTTGATATTGCCACATGTGATATCAGGTGGAGAAAGACTGCCAATTTCGGGACAAAATTCTTTAAGGGGGAGAGATTGTGAAATTTTGTTTCAGGGGTCGCTCGAGCGAGGAAAGTGTCGCTCAAGTGCAGAATTGTTGCTCCCAGTATCTTGCGAATCTGTAGGCGTGCTTGCTCGAGCGAGGAAAGCATCGCTCGAGCGAAAAATGCTGGCATCCAGTAGTTTCACTGTAGCACTGCAAAACTTCTGAGATCCTTCTTTCTCCACTAGAGCGAAGAAGTTATCGCTCGAGCGAGTCCTTCAGATTATGTCTGGTCACTTGAGCGTAGGAAGCCACGCTCAAGCGAGCTTCGCGATATCAGCTTTTTAAATATGATGATTCTAGATCATTCTTTTATCTTTTCTTTTCTATTTTACTTCTACTCCTTCTACTCTTCTTCTCTCTACAAAACCTTAAGTTTCCACCATAAAATACCTCTTATACACTTGAAATCCAACCAAAATCTCTTGCTAAGAGTGAAGAACACTCGAAGATTATCCTTGTCCACCGATTGGATTGTGGGATTGTAAAGGATTCTTGCAGGAGCTTGACTTCCTTGCTTGATTTTCGAGTTAGGGGTGCTTTTACTCTAGTATTTCCTTATTTTGAAGGGATTCTATGGTATTGTTGTGACTATTGTGACTATGAATTAATTTTTGAGGATTGTGTGGAATCAAATTCATGATTTGTGTAAATAAACAACTTGCTTGACTTTTGCCAGATATTTATTCACTTTTTCTTTTAGAACTTGTATATAAATGTTGTTTAAACCTTTATCTATGATGAAGAAGCAAAACCCCCAAATTTGGCAAAACCTTAGAGTGTACATTTGGTTGGAAGACACTAAATTGAATAGAATTCATTTTGTTTCATGGGATATGATGAATGATCAAGAGATGACAATTGTGGCTTGAATGTTATTTTTCTTTAAAGGTTATGTGGTGTTTCATCTATTATGATGATGGATGTTTGTTGATGGAATTAAAATGTGATAGAATTGTTAACTGTGCATGAGTTTGGGTAAAAGTCGGTTTTGGGAAAAATGTTGTGTTATGTTGGTACCTGTGCGGGGAGTTTAAAAAGGTGCACAAATGCCTTGTCTAGGCTTATCGCAAGACGAATGTGGGAAAGATGTTTTTGGGTGTCCACATAGTCCTGCCGTATTGTAGTCGGCGAAAGTGGAAAAACAGATGGTTTTCTTGAGGAGCCCCTTTCCCGTCGTATAATAGTCGGCATATGTGGGGATGGATTTTGAAACTAAAGTAACTTGTGTTGGACTCTTACATGAGACTCATGGTTTGTTTTCCAACGATGTGATTGTTTAAATGTTGTGTTGAGAAGCTGTGAAATGTAATTGTCCATGTTAAATTGTTATGTATATACAAAAGTGGTGAAGATGAAATGTGCTCATAATTTATTATTATGTTTTGTCTTAAGGATGCCATAAATTCATTCGGATGATTAAATACTTGAGTAAATGTATTCCTACTGGGCGATCTGCTCAACCCTAATTTATTTTTTTCAGGGACAGATGAAGTTTTGCCTCAGTAGAGCAGAGGACACTTAGTTGGTTTTGAATGAGAAAGACAAAAAGATATTTTGTGTTGAGACTTAATTGTTTTGTGTAATGTTCTATTTAGTTTTGATGTAGCTTATAGGCCAGTGAGGCAATTGTTAATGTAATGCCATCTAGATTCTTGAACTAGGATAAATTTTGGAACATGTAATCCTTGGACTTTGTACGATGGAAAATGTTAGTTCAAAGGGGAAAGATGGCCCTTTTGGTATTAAGTTCTGATGGTTGTGAATGTTTCTTACATTAATTATCAGGGTGTGACACACGTGGCTTAAGCTTTTGAAACCATGTAAAAGAGTGTTGCAATATGGATATGACTCTTTGCTGCCTCCACAAGTGTTAATTCAAGTTTATGAGAAAAACAATGAACATAATACGCACTTTCATTCTCTTCCATTATAAGCCTCATCAGTTTGTTGAACTTACCCTGCATATCAATATTATTGACCTCATCATAACTTTCTCCACACAACCTAAATATGCTTAAGCCATGTGTAAAAAATAAGTCTTTAACCACCTTCTTAAGTGAAAGAACACTAGAACTAGTACTTTGCTTGATACCCAAAAAATGCTCAATCACATATCCCTTACTATCCACATATCTCAAAGAAACAATCTGTTAGGTTTTTATTCTTGGCAATCCCGTTTGACAAAACTCCTTTAAGTTGTATTTGTTTTCGCACTTTTATTTCAGTGAGGCTATGAGTTTATTAGATGCGAATCCAACCCGAATTGTGCCTTGCAGAGAAGTTTGTGATGTTAATGCTTTCAAGATTGCCACTTCGTTGATTATGACGGGGGTCGAGCTGCCTGATCGGCTCGCAGCCGAAGCAAAATGCAAAAATGCATTCAAAGTTGCCTACCCGCTCGAGCGTCCATTCCCCCGCTCGAGCGGAGAATGCTGAGTTCCAGAAGTTTGGTGAGCCTGCAAAAATACTGTGATCCGTGTTTTCACGCTCGAGCGTCGAAATCCCCACTCGAGCGTACATCCTGGTTTGGAACACGTCATATAGTGTCTCCGCTCGAGCGTATACCCTAGTGTGGAACACATCATATAGTGTCCCCGCTCGAGCGTCCATTCCTACGCTCGAGCGAACCTCACGATTTCAGATTCTATAAATTTGCAAGTTGCTTCGAATCTAGGATAACCTCTCCAGATCTTCTTCTTGGGTACTAGGGTTTATATCTGGGGATATTTTGCTTGTTTTCTTTGATGTTTTGATTGAGTATTCAACTCATGGTTTAAAGAGTATACATCAAAGGATTGTTTGTTTAATTTTACACAAAATAGAGAGTTGTTCTTCGGTGGATTCTGAAGAAGTCGATCCTGAAGCTTTGGTGGATTTTGGAGTGGCTCGTCGTCAAGACAATTCCGAGGTGAAGACGGGGTTGGAAGAGGCACATAGAGGTTGGTTCAATTCAGGTGTGGATTCGTTAGGTAATTGAGAGTATACCTGTGTAATTCCTTTATATCTTCTTAGTGGATTGATTTGTGGCTGTTGCCTGTCGTTTTTTTTTTATCACAATTGGAGGTGTCCAATTGTGGTTTTTCCACGTAAAATCGTTGTGTTGATTTGTCTTGATTGTTTGATTGGGATTGTTGTTTACTGCTTAAAATTGATACATAATCACAAATCAACATCTAGGGAATTTCTAGATTTTTCAATTGGTATCAGAGCAGGTCGCTCTATTTTTTTTTTTGTTTTACAAATCTATTAGAGCGAGATCTTGTTTGATTTGTGATAATAGATACAATTCGTGAGGGAAATTCTATGGTTCGACCACCCCTACTTGATGGATCCAATTATTCTTTTTGGAAAGCTCGGATGAGATCGTTTTTAAAATCTATTGACGAAAAAGTTTGGCAATCTATCATAAATGGGTGGACCAAACCAACAATTACCGTTGATGGAGTAACTTTTCCCAAACCAATTGAAAAGTGGGACACAATTGATTACCAAAATAGTAGCTGGAATAGTAAAGCTATCGATTCTCTCTTTTGTGCTGTCACACCTGAAGAGTTTTGTTGTATTTGCAATTGTGAAGTTGCAAAAGAGGCTTGGGATATCTTACAAACTATTCATGAGGGCACTCCTTCTGTTAAACGCTTAAAACTTCAAAGGCTCACGTCTAGCTTCGAAAACCTTTCAATGAAAGATAGTGAGACCTTTGATGAATTCTATGCAAAGTTGAGTGACATTGTAAATTCCAGCTTCAATTTAGGTGAAAAAATACCAGAATCCAAAGTTGTGGGAAAAATTTTGAGATCCTTGCCCGATCGGTTCCAACCAAAAGTTACGGCTATTGAGGAGGCTCAAGATGTTGACAACCTCAAGCTGGATCAGTTGGTTGGAAATCTCCAAACTTATGAGGCACATAGGAATTTCAAAAAAAACAAAAAGATATTGCTTTTAGTAGTGCTCATAGAGTTGGAGAGGATTCTGATGAGGATTGTGAGATAGATTCCAAGATTACGGCTGCTTTTGTTAAACAATTTAAAAAATCTTTTCTTGAAAAAGAATCATAATCTTTTGGAATCTACTCATACTCATAAATCTAAAGGCAAAGATAAACTCAAAATTAATTCTATAGCCAAGAAGGAGAAAGGAAAGATACAAGGGAACTCTGAAAGAGTCCAATGCTATGAATGCCAAGGATTTGGCCACTTTGCTTCACAATGCCCCACTCGTTTGAGGAAGAAGAAAGCCCTCGCCATCACTTGGGATGATGAATCAGAATCTGATGAAGATGAAAGTGACAACGAAGATCAAGGCGAAGAGGGACATAAACAATTCCTTGCTTTCATGGCAGCTTCTGAAACTGAAGGACGAACAGAGTATCCGAAGAGCCCGGTTAAGAATGCCACTGATGATGAATCCTTGAGAAGTGATGATGAGGAGCTTGAGCAAGCTTATGAAAAGTTGTATAAGGAATCTCTTAAGTTATCCAAATTGAATGAAAAACTCACTATGAAACTCAAAGCATGTGAAAGTGAGAATGTCAAACTAAAGGAGGAGATTTCCGAGGCTAGGATTGATGCCATCAAGATAGCTAATGATCGACAAGCTCTTTGTGTAAAACTCTTGACTTGTGAGATAGAGAGGAATGAGCTACAGCAAATCTATGCAACATATGAAGAAAAAATTGAAGCTCTCGAGATGTCTCAAGTTGCTTTGGAAGAACTAATGATCCAGAAAGAGGAAGAACTCAAGTGTGCTATGGCTACCACTAGTCTGTGGAACAGAGGATCAAAGACTTTGGACAATATCATTGGGTCTCAACAAATTTGTTCTGATAAGAGTGGCATTGGCTTTGGTGGTAAGAAAGAGCAAAAACAGAGTGCTTCCATATCTCATGATACAAGAACTCAAGGAAAGGGAGAACAAAAAATTCAACATGAGGGTGGACTCTCAAACTTCCTAGAGTTGGTAAGGCCAAAGAAAAGAAGGTACACTCTGTTTTTATTTGTCATCATTGTGGTATGCATGGTCATATTCGCCCTTATTGTTATAAGTTGTATGGGAGAGTGTCTCATAGAGATGGAAGAAATTCCAACATCTCATGCGGTAGGAGACACTTCATTGGTCGTAAGGAGGTTATGGGTCATAATAAGCCTTGCTGTTTTGATGTGCTTGAGACCAAACATGGAGTGAGTTTGCATTTGCCTAGCTCTAGGAATAGGAAGTTGAAAACCATGTCAAGACGGGTTCTTATTGAAGGGGAAGGGAACCACAACGTCAAGACACCATCCAAGAACTGCAATTTTCACAACTTTGTTCATACTAAAGCGGTTTGGGTGAGAAAACTTGACTTGTGCTAATTTGTTTATTTTTTTTTAGTTTTTTTAGGTTTCTGTGTGTTTTTTTTCTTTTTTCTTTTGAGTCATTTAATGTGTGCATGTTTGTTTTTTGTCTTGCTTTGTTTCAGAAAAAGAAAAAAATGTGTGCTTGTTTATTTTTTTGTCTTGCTTTATTTTTGAAAAAAAAAAACCAAAAAGATTTTCTTAGTATGGTTTTGCAAGCTTGAAATTTTTAAGATGCCCTTGGTGCATACTGGAATTGATGAGAATATCCATTACTTGTTAATATGTGGTCATTACTTATTTTGGAGTGTGTGTTCTTTGATTAGTATGTCTCATTCTGTACACACTCTTGGATTAGCAAATTCTGGAGTCTTCCGCCTTAGTGATTATTTTTTTTATGGACTTTTGGCATGGTATCTTTTGTTTTTATAGAGAAATTGACCTATACTAGCATATCATGGGTGATGTTGAGTCTCTTAACCACCTTCCATCTTTTTGCATCTCCACGGCTTTTCCCCTCTATTCTTTGTAGTCCAGCCATGGGGAAAAGGCTACCTCAGAGTCACCAACCAGGCCATCCTTATTATATCCATGCTTCTCTGGTTCGGTTTCCATACTCTTGAGCGTGTTAGCCGCCAATGAGTGTGCAAAAGAAAAAGAAAAAGAAAAAGAAAAAGAAAAAGAAAAAGAAAAAGAAAAAGGAAAAGAAAGAGAAGAAGAAAAAATATGCAAAAGAAAGAAAAAATGTGCAAAAGAAAGAAAGAAAAAAAAAGAAAAGATTCATTGATTGAGGGGGAGCCTTCGCCTTTACTCACCAAATGCCCCTTGATTTCTAGTGGTTCGACTTTCGTTAGTTGTGCTCAGATTCTCTTGTCAGAGGTCCAGCTTTCATATCACTACTAGGATTTGAATCTAGTGTTTGTCGAACTCCAAGAGTCACACACACACTTTTTTCATGGGATCTATGCTTTTCACATAATGCATTACTTTCTTTTATGAGGAATCTTCTAGAGGTTGTGCACATTGTGTTTTCAAGTAATTGTGCTTCTTAGATAATCTTGTGTGTTTCAAGGTCCAAATTTGAAATTCCTTGCTTGCTCCACCATATTATTTTTTGTTGTTTTTCTTCTTGTTCTTTGTTTTTAGTGAGGGGAAGTTTGGTTTATCATTACAAGAGTAAGTTAGCATGAACACTTTGATTTGTTTGGTAAGGGAGATTGGCTATAGATGTTTTGCATGTTGCTATGCACTGTTGCTTATTATTTCCTTCTTGCATGCTCCTGATATTTACATCATCATATCATTGCTTGTGTGGTTTATGATCTTGCTTTTGTTGTTTGAGTTTCATTTGTCAATTCGTGACAAAAATGGGGAGAAGATTGTTTTTCATGTGTCTTAGGATTTCATGTATTCATGTCACGAGTTGGGTGCATATGTCTTAGTTTTCATCTATCCATCTATACATGCTACATGTTCTTAAAATCTCCAAGTCGTATTTATTCATGTTTTCCATCTCATGCTTCAAATGCTTCAAGATAATCTAGCCATATGTTTATTGCTTTTTCATATACTCTTGTGGAACTAATAGTTGTTTTGGAGATTGTGGCACTAATAGTTGTTTTGCAGATCATGACCTTGAAAAAGAAGTTTGTTTTTATTGGCTATAAGGGTTGGGGTGTTTAGGATTTTATTTGTTAGGTGTGTTTTGTCACGACATTGCCAAAGGGGGAGATTGTTAGGTTTTTACTCTCGGCAATCCCGTTTGACAAAACTCCTTTCAGTTGTATTTGTTTTCGCACTTTTATTTCAGTGAGGCTATGAGTTTATTAGATGCGAATCCAACCCGAATTGTGCCTTGTAGAGAAGTTTGTGATGTTAATGCTTTCAAGATTACCACTTCGCTGTTTACTGCTTAAAATTGATACATAATCACAAATCAACATAATGATTTTACGTGGAAAAACCACAATTGGACACCTCCAATTGTGATAAAAAAACCACGGGCAACAGCTACAAAACAATCTACTAAGAAGATATAAAGGAATTACACAGGTATACTCTCAATTACCTTGCGAATCCACGCCCGAATTAAACCAACCTCTATGTGCCTCTTCCAACCCCGTCTTCACCTCGGAATTGTCTTTCTGATGAGCCACTCCGGATTCCACCAAAGCTTCAGGCTCGAATACTACTACAATTTGTGAAGATCATTGTATCCTGAGAGATAGACGCCACTCAACCGTAAGTACCGTAGCGGGGTGAATCTGTCTTAAGGACAGAGTGTCACACACTCGACTTGGTCTTGAATTATTTATTCGGTTCAACGAAATAAATTCTGTAAGATTTATTTTATTTTGTTTGATTTAATTACACAGAAGATTGTTCCAACAGAACAAACAAATAATCTTTTAATGTATACTCTTTAAACCATGAGTTGAATACTCAATCAAAACATCAAAGAAAACTAGCAAAATATCTCTAGATATAAACACTAGAACCCAAGTAGAAGATCTGGAGGAGTAATCCTAGATTTGGAGCAACTTGCAAATTTATAGAATCTGAAATCGCGAGGTTCGCTCAAGCGTAGAAATTGACGCTCGAGCGGGGACACTATATGAAGTGTTCCGCACTAGGGTGTACGCTCGAGCGGGGAAATGGACGCTTGAGCGGGGACACTATATGACGTGTTCCAAACCAGGATGTACGCTCGAGCGGGGATTTCGACGCTCGAGCGTGAAAACATGGATCACAGTATTTTTGGAGGCTCACCAAACTTCTGGAACTCAGCATTCTCCGCTCGAGCGGGGGAATGGACGCTCGAGCGAGTAGGCAACTTTGAATGTATTTTTGCATTTTGCTTCGACCGCGAGCTTACCAGGCAGCTCGACCCCGTCATAATCAGCGAAGTGGCAATCTTGAAAGCATTAATATCATAAACTTCTCTGCAAGGCACAATTCAGGTTGGATTCGCATCTAGTAAACTTATAGCCTCATTGAAATAAAAAGTGCGAAAACAAATACAATTGAAAGGAGTTTTGTCAAACGGGATTGCCAAGAATAAAAACCTAATAGATTGTTTCTTTGAGATATGTGGATAGTAGGGGATATGTGATTGAGCATTTTTTGGGTATCAAGCAATGTACTAGCAAAATGCAAAAATGCAAAAATGCATTCAAAGTTGCCTGCCTGCTCGAGCGTGCATTCCCCCGCTCGAGCGGAGAATGCTGAGTTCCAGAAGTTTGGTGAGCCTCCAAAAATACTGTGATCCGTGTTTTCACGCTCAAGCGTCGAAATCCTCGCTCGAGCGTACATCTTGGTTTGGAACACGTTATATAGTGTCCTCGCTCGAGCGTCCATTTCCCGCTCGAGCGTACACCCTAGTGCGGAACACTTCATATATTGTCCCCGCTCGAGCGTCCATTCCTACGCTCGAGCGAACCTCACGATTTCAGATTCTATAAATTCGCAAGTTGCTCCGAATCTAGGATAACCTCTCCAGATCTTCTTTTTGGGTTCTAGGGTTTATATCTGGGGATATTTTGCTAGTTTTCTTTGATGTTTTGATTGAGTATTCAACTCATGGCTTAAAGAGTATACATCAAAGGATTGTTTGTTTAATTTTACACAAAAGAGAGAGTTGTTCTTCGGTCGATTCTGAAGAAGTCGAGCCTGAAGCTTTGGTGGATTCTGGAGTGGTTCGTCGTCAAGACAATTTCGAGGTGAAGACGGGGTTGGAAGAGGCACATAGAGGTTGGTTCAATTCGGGCGTGAATTCGCTAGGTAATTGAGAGTATACCTGTGTAAGTCCTTTATATCTTCTTAGTGGATTGTTTTGTGGCTGTTGCCCGTGGTTTTTTTTATCACAATTAGAGGTGTCCAATTGTGATTTTTTCACATAAAATCGTTGTGTTGATTTGTCTTGATTGTTTGATTGGGATTGTTGTTTACTGCTTAAAATTGATACATAATCACAAATCAATATCTAGGGGATTTCTAGATTTTTCACAATCAATTGCTCGTCCATTAATGCATCCCAAGATTTATCAAAGACAATAGAGAACAAGCCATCACCAAGTTCTCTAACAATAGCATTGGTAGTTTCAACCACAATGGCATTAAGAATATCCTTTTGAATACTAGGTGATGTCAACTTAAGGAGTTCAGGAACATCTTTTGACAAAACAGCTCTGAGATTCTCATTTTGATCTGAAAAAAGCATCAAAAGCTAAAAAAAGTTTCCTTGGTTGCTTGAATCTTCAAATTCATCATGCCCATGTAATGGAATCCCTTTGCAAAAGAAGTCGGATGCAATCAATTGATGCAGTTAATTGAACTCTATAATCACTCTTGGCTTCATCAGGTTGAGTGGAGAAAACTTTTTCAATATGAAAAACCTAAGTGATTCGTGATTAGATCAAGATTAATTGTACCAATTCCCAAATGATTAAAACTAACAATCTAAATCATTTAGCACATATGAAAGTGATTTAGATTATCGCTTCAAAATTAGTAAATCGACACAAACGATTTTTATGTGGAAAAATCACAATTGGAGCACCTCCAATTGTGATTAAAAAACCATGGGTGAAACGCCACTAATCAATCCACTATGAAGGAAAGAAAGAATACAAAATTACCAAACAAATTACTCAATCTTCAACAATCTGTATCTCTTTCACTGCAGCCTTCATCTCAGAATTGATCAGATTGATGTTGAATCCACAACATCTATGTCGAATCAACGACTGCACACAGCTTCGAACTCCTTCGAATACTCCCCGCTTGAATCTCTGAATTCCACCGAAGAAGAACACTCTTGAAGTCGAATAATCAAACAACTCTTTGATGTATGCTTGTCAAACCATGAGTATAATACTCAATCAAACATCAAAGAGAACTAGCAAAATAGCACGAGAAGAAAACCCTAGAACCCTAAAAAAAGATCTAGAAGCCGTGTCCTAGATTTGGAGCAAACTACAATTTTATAGCAGTTGGAGTCACGACCTCTCTCAAGTGTAGGAATGGCAGCTTAAGCGGTGACACTAACACGCGTGTTCCAAACCAGGGTTTACGCTCAAGCGTAGGAACTTACACTTGAGCGTAAAATCAGACCTCAAAGTATTTTTGCAAACGAACCAAAATACTGAGAAGGTGGAAACTCCGCTTGAGCAGGAAGACCAAAAACAGAGGAAAAATTACAACTCGATTGAACTAAGCTTGTTCGCGGAATTGGCAACAAGTAGGGACCTAACACAATATGTTGCTTCTTTTTTTTTTTTTGATAAATGTTTCAATATATTGCTTTTGATTCAGTAAGTACTGACATTTTCTCCAAGCTTAATTGTGTGTTAACACCTCCCACATGACCTTGCAACCTTTCTTTCTTCTTCCAACTTGAAAACCCATCAACAACAAAGGACTTACCACCCCCTTGGTCTTCTACGATGGGTTTGAAAAGGTAACAACAAAGGCAAAATGCAGCATCTTTAGCTATGTTATACTCCAACCAACTACCAAATTCAGCAAACCATGAAGGGTTAAACCTTCTTGATGATTGCCTGATTTTCCTTCGTGGAAAATTGTGATCATGAGGTTGACAAGGGCCTTTTAATACATAAACCCGACGAACTTGTTCTCGGTTGCTACGATGATAATCCTTAATCAGGGGTCGTAGCCCTAGATCTTCAGGAAGGTCTAGCAAGTTGATTTCTATATGACTCTGTTTTGGAGAGTTGTCATGAATTGGTGAAGATGATGATTCTACGCTTGATTTTGTTTTATAATATCGCTCCATAACTATTTAAAAAACCCAAAAAAAAACATGATAACAATAGATAGCATATTTTAGGTAGTAGTGTGTTTCAATGAATTGTTAGCAAAACTAAAAAAAAAAGAAGAAGAAGAATTTGAACCAAATATAAATGAAATAAATAAACATACTTTTAAAAGAAAACACCAAGTTCAACTTTTTCCTCTTTTTTTTATAATTCTTTTTTTTTTTGAATCCCTATTGAAAATTTTCAACAAATATTGAAGACCTTGAAGTAAAAACTAACACAATCAGGATGAAAGTTGAGAAAACTAACCTTTGATGCCCAAAACTACGTAGAATCAAGTTAGGGTTCTTCAAGCTTAAAGAAGGTTTAGAGAGAGAGAGAGAGAGAGAGAGAGAGAGTTGGGAAACCCTAACCGTAAAAAACAATTAGGAGAGAGAGAGAGAGAGAGTGTGTTGGGAAACCTTAACCCTAAAAAACAATTAGTAATTTTTTGATTGTTTAAGAAAGAATTTGAAAGTTTGGTTTTGACTTGTTTAGTCATTAAAAAATCATTTTTGTACGAAACTCTCACCTTGTTTGAAAAATACTAAAAAATTATTTTTGAAGTGTTTACTTTTTTCTTTAATGAAATTTTTATTATTTTTTATTTTTTAGGATTTTATTTTGAACGGATTTAAAAAGTAAAATGAAGTAAAAATAAAATAAAAATCTACCAAAAAAATAATAAAATCACACTTTTAGCATTGATAAGACGTATCAATTTTTTAAGTAGTAAATTTATCTTATAAAAATTAAAATTAAAAGATATACTTTAAAAATTATAATTTTTCTAAAAGTGCAAGTCGGTTTGTATTTGGTACAAGTGAAAGTATAATTCTAATAAGAGTATTACAACTCAAACTAAAATAATAGCTCAGAGTGTCGTATTGACGAAGCAGCTCAGATCAAAATTCTTGCAATAGCCAAAGGCTTGTGACTCACAACTCAGTGAAGATAGTAGCACCATCATGATGCGTAATTGTGCAACTGATATGGCAGTTACTTAGTTAGTTAGTTAAAGAGTTTGTTAGGCTGTTAGATTATATATGTACACATAGTTGGTTAGAATAGCAAAGATAGGTGATTGTATAAAAAGACCTCTGTAATTGAGATATGAAGAAATGGAAATGGAATAAAGAATTTCATTATGGTATCAGAGCTTTCAAGCTCAAGCGAGCAAGATCCTCCCATGGCGAAATTTTCTTCCTCAGCTTTAATCCCTACCAATCTTAGTCTACTCATATCAAATCTTAGTTCATTAGTTACTGTTAAGCTTGATTCATCCAATTTTCTTATACGGAAAAGCCAAATCCAAAATGTAATAACCCGACCCTCGTACATGTTTTCTGATATACTTTCAGTCCCTTTATTCTGCGCATTTAAATACCTATTATGAAATTTCATGAGCAATTGGGTGTAGTTAAGTGAACCTTATGATTATAGATCCATATCTGTTTAATAAGAAAATAGATCTGTCACAATTAAAATGTTTGGATCAAGAATTGAAAGCCTTAAGAGCTTAATAATCCGAAATTGATTTTATATTTGAGATCAGCATAATTTTTAAGTCATAATAGGATTTTCTGTGAAATTTTAATTTGAAATGATTAAATTGATTGAGTTTTGTTCTATTCACCTTATATATATATATACCTATGTCCTTTTAAGTATTTGACTTGGGAGCTTTATACAAAAATATCCTGAGAGTGAGGAAAGAGAAGAGTTTGAGAGGAGGAGCAAAGTTCTTCAAGGAAGGAATTGGGGAAATCTAGAGGGTTGTAGGGAATTTGACTCAAGGTATGTCTACTCATTTCTAAGTGATCTCTCTCTTTGAATAAAGAAGAAATTCCTCTATGTTATTGCGCTAAGTGATTAATTGAGTCATTATCTTTGTATTGAATTGATTTGGAAGTGTATGGAATTATCTAGCGAGGTATCTAGTGAGAAGTCCATCCTATTTCCTCAATTATTAAACTTGAACCCATCTACATGGATATATGGTTGCATATGTGGGTGTGTGTGTGTGTGGATGCGTTAAAGAATTGGAAGTATTGTGGAATTGGATTATGTTTATAAACTTTAAAGATTAAGATCCAAGTTATATTGAGATTACATAATGTTTATATACATGCTTTTTGAATCATATTTCATCAATTAAAGGACCTATTTTGGGCCTTGAAAAAGTTACCAAAAATTGGGTGTTGCTGGAATTTCGGACTGTTGCTGGGCAGAATCACTGCGCGTGCGGGGGTCATTGCCGCACATGCGGGAACCCTTGCCGCACATACGAGGCTCACAGCCGCACGTGCGGCCCAAGCTGGAAAAAATGTTTTGCTCCGTTTCGCGTGCTTAACCCTCTGGTATTTTTGAAATCTATGTTTGATGTCCCTAAGATGCCTGTAAATTCATTCGAAGTAAAATGAAGCAGGAAATAATGAAAGGAAGAAAAAGAACTAATGTATAAGTTGTGTACATGTGTAGGTCATAATCCGGGAGGGTCAAGCGCTCCGCTATAGCACTGTGAGTAGTAGTACTGTAATCGTACGTTTACTTACCGTTAATAATTCTTATTATTAACGCTCTGTTCCTTGCAAGTAATTATGTTAACATTTATGTTAATTGAAAGTCGGGATGAACTTATGTAAATGTTGAAAGGTTTTGAAGGACCTTGTGTATGTCGGTATGACTCTGGAACTACTCTGTATTCCAGTTACGATTAATGGCCATCATTAATGTGCTATAATCTGTAAATTACCTATGACCCTGCATAAGAATTACATACGTACTGTTAATTCTGTGGAACTGGATGACAGAAAGAAATTATGAATGTAAACCCCGCTTACCGAAAACATGAGATTCTGAGGGTCCTACCAGGGACTTCTATAGTTTGTATGATGCAACGCCCATCTTATGACATAGATATCTACCTAGTATGTTCATCGGAAATAATAATCAAATGAAACTACAGGTTGCTTTACACGATAGTGACTGTTGGGGAACTATAATAAATATTGGATTGACCTATGAATGACTTGACCTGAGGAAAGAACTGGAAATCAATACCATTATTATGTGACCCACGTTATAAGGTGAATTATTTTGTTCTGTTTAACATATGAATGCAACACATGGTAACATGCTGTTAAACACGTATTCAAGTAAATGTATTGAAGTACAATGCAGTTTGAATGATATGCTGAGGCCGGTGCATGCAAGATAGATGAATGGATGCAAACATGCAAACATAAGTATGCTAATTAAAACATGCCCTAAAACTAACTATCGAAAGCGGTAAGTAAAAGGGAGAAAGAAATGGGGGTTGGAAGACATGCACACACTCACGCACACACTCACGCACACTTATTACAAAATTTGCCCTCTCGACGGAGGATCCGAATAATAAGCTAACTAGCTAATCTAAGCTAATTAAACTAATTATTACAAAACAAATCGAT